GTTTGGGGTTTAGGGTTTTTAGGAATTAGGGCTTGGGGGCTCAGGGTTCGGGGGTTTTACGGTTCTGGGGTAGAGCTTTGGGTTTCAGGCTGCACCAGTTAGGTACGTACCTGGGCCTTTTAAACCATCGAGCCTGTGCAGAAAGCTTTCAGTCTCTACTGGTGAGCTCACTTTTTTGGCGGGAGGTCTGTGAATCAACGCAGCTCAGGAAGTAGCAGTGTCAAACCAAAAAGCCATGATTAAAGCTCCACGAACAATTTAGGGGACCTCCATTTTGGAGGAACCTCCACAAGTACTAAGCCTAAACCCCAAACCCGAAACACGAAAGCTCAAAAGCCGCACACCTAACCGCCGCAAAACTCCATAGAAGAGACGAGAGTTGCACGTTTACGCAGCCCCCCCGAAAAAACTCAAAAACTAAGATCCGCAGACAGAAGCCACCAAACTGATCATAGGCAACCCTTTGAGATCAAGGAAATTCATCCAAATAGAAGTGATATTGAGAAACTCCGGTATCTACTCCATCACTAGAACACAAAGAAACCTGTGACAGTTTGATCACCTCTCCACAGAATATGCCCCGGAGCCCAATCCAAAAATCTTTTTCAGCCGTTTATCAGGCAGTATAGTCTGGCTTAGGGCTCAGGGTTTATTTAATAGGTAGGCGAAAATAAGCTCTATTTTCAGGACCCCCCTTGGCAACATCAAACGCCTGAACCCTAAAGCCTTCTCAGACCCCAAACCTATGACTTTGTCCAATCGACAGCCGAGTTGCAGAGTTGTTCCCGGCATATTCAAGCGGAGTGCCATCCACAAGGTATCCTAAGAGTCTAGGGTTTAGGGTTTATCCTAAGAGTTTAGGGTTTAGGGTTTAGGGCTCAAAACAAACTCCCGCCGGAAGAATGTAGAAGCAAAAAACTACCCATACATCATAGTCAGGTGTGGCTGCTGTACTCCTTACATTACTCTATTCGAAAATTCTGCAAGGAACCTAGGACGACCATGAACCCTAAACCCTAAACCCTAAATTTAGGGTTTAGGGTTTAGCACCTCTATTAGCCAGGCTCCATTTGGGTGGTTGTCAAAAATTATGGTTCCTGTTTGGATCCCTATTATAATACGGCACCTAATATTTAGGGTACCCAAAAGGGACTCAACCAGCACCCTCCGACTATTTTCACTTATGATCTAAATGAGTAGCTTTTTTTTGGGTGGTTAAACCCAATAAGATTATACTAACTATATTCCTTATATAAATACTATACCCCAAAGGAGGATGCAATCTTACTCTATCTTGGGTACCATAGCATCCCCAAATAAAATACTACTCAAATATCCACGACGGTCCTAGTTAGAGGTGCTGGGAGGGCCTAGGTAGAAGTCTTTCACAACTGGAAAACGGAATCTTCAATCAAGGCGTGGGTCTCTAGCAAGCAAGGAGTAAGTCAGGAACTATCAAAAGAGTTAGGGTTTCTATACACTTCTATAACTGACTCAAGTCTTTACTGGAAGTTCTGCATGATCATACTCGATAGACTCACATTAGTAACGCTTTCTGTTGTTGAACCAAAGCAAGCAATATATTCTTTCACAGTACTTCATCCAGAAGGAGGACATATGCTTAGTCTTTATGGGGGATGCAGTTCAGGGCTTAGAGTAGCATAACCCCCCGTCAAAAGATGAGGCTCACATGAACAACGGGAGTGCAGGCTGTGAATTGCCAGTACCTTTGACATGAAAATGCCTGAAAACAAAGCGGTCTCTTCTGTGGGATGTTGAGAATCGTAGAGGTCTAGGCCCTATAGCAGTCATATAGATATAGTTATGTAAATATACATCTATGCAAATTTCTATCTGTAGGGCCTAAACTCCCCTAACTAATGGGACAACATAAGTGCAATGCCAGTAATCCGGGACTATTATGGGTTGTCGCGGGAAGGTATGCCACGTACGACCAGGTACGCAGTATAGGATTCAGGGCTTGCGAAGCCCTCACCCTACACCCTAAAATCTTAAACCCTGCAAACTGACACCGTGTGCCGGCTCAACCTTTGCCTGGGTAGGTATATTATTGCCAAGCGCTAGTGTCATGTATACTGCGGTGGATACAAGAAATCCTGCATGCCTCCGAGTACCTAATACCCTGTGAAATATGGTACTACAGCAAACTACATTCCTGTGGAGCTTTAGTATCAACAGTAGTAATTACTCAGGATTTAGGGTTACTGACCTTGAGCTACCACAATATGAATACAAAGTGAATAATGTGGCTTCCTTGTAAATGTAACTTGTACGTTCCTACCTCGACGGTTGCAAGCAAATGCCAGGTTTGGCAACTGATAGGATCTAGGGTTTAGAGGGTAAAGGGTTCAGGGTTAAATCCTAAGCCCCTAAGCCCCTAAGCCCTAAAACCTACACCCTGAGGCCCTAAACCCTAAACCCTTAACGGACTCTTGTCCAGGATCCCTGCTATTCTTAGCACGCTGGTCCCTTTCGGGGTATCTATGTAACTGTGGCCGCGCGCCTGTTTGATTGCATGAAACGTTTGACCATAACTTAGAAGCATGTAGGGTTTAGGGTGTAGCGTATAGTAAGAGTAATAGTAATGGTAGCAGTAATCACCAAGAAGCTGTGAACTCCCAAAGCTGACGAGCGGCCGACATCAGCAGCGTAGAAGGAGGCTGGCAAAGGCGAGCCGGGGGTATGGGTGTCGGGTTGGATGCTCTCCGGGTGATTAATGGCGTTGCCAGCACGGTTCAGGGGCGTGCCATCCGGTAGGTAGCCAACGGAGTTCACAAAGTTCGCACGGGGCAACGGAGACCCGGGAGCATGCCTGTCCGGTCCGATGCTCTCGGGGTGGTTGATGGCGTTCCCCGCTCGGTTCAGCGGAGTGCCATCTGGGAGGTAGCCCACATCATTGCAGAACTCCAGATCTGCGTATGCATCCTTCTGAAAGCTGTACTCGAACTTGCGGCCATGAATGGCAGTACCCTGAGCCGCAGCAGGCACTGGCGGAGGGGCAGCGGCCATTGGTGGGGCGGAAGCTGCAGGAGTAGCTGGGCTGAAGCTTGCAGGGGCCGCAGCTGGTGGCGGGGTTGCCGGAGCGCCCTTCACGGAGTTGTTGCCAGCAGTCGCCAACGGTGTTCCATCAACCAAGTAGCCCACATCGGCAGCGTAGAAGGAGGCTGGCAAAGGCGAGCCGGGGGTATGGGTGTCGGGTTGGATGCTCTCCGGATGATTGATGGCATTGCCTGCACGGTTCAGGGGCGTGCCGTCCGGAAGGTAGCCAACCGAGTTTACGAAGTTCGCACGAGGCAGGGGAGATCCTGGAGCATGGCGGTCAGGGCCGATGTTCTCCGGGTGATTGATGGCATTCCCTGCGCGGTTCAGCGGAGTGCCATCTGGGAGGTAGCCCACATCATTGCAGAACTCCAGATCTGCGTATGCATCCTTCTGAAAGCTGTACTCGAACTTGCGGCCATGAATGGCGGTACCCTGAGCCGCAGCAGGCACTGGCGGAGGGGCAGCGGCCATTGGTGGGGCGGAAGCTGCAGGAGTAGCCGGGCTGAAGCTTGCAGGGGCCGCAGCAGGTGGAGCCGAGCCTGGCGCAGGCTGCCTCACCGAGTTGTTGCCTGCTGTAACAAGGTCGGTTCCATCAGCCAGGTAGCCAATGTCCGCGAGGTAAGAGGAAGGCGGCAAGGGGGAGCCTGGTGAATGAGGGTCCGGCTGCATGGTCTCAGGGTGGTTGATGGCATTACCCGCCGCATTCAGCGGCGTTCCATCCGGAAGGTATCCAACGGAATTCACAAACTTGGCGCGGGGAAGTGGGGATCCAGCCATGTGCTTGTCCGCGCCAATCGTCTCTGGGTGATTGATGGCGTTGCCCGCTCTGTTTAGCGGGGTCCCGTCAGGCAAGTAGCCGACATCGTTGGTGAACCTCAGCTTCTCACATCGTCTTACGGTGCCTGAGACAAATTTCTGAATTACACCCTTCACAAAAGCAACAAAATCCAATATGCTCACAGCAATCCCTGCATCATTTTCTCATATTCAGGCTGCTCCACGCACCGTGCAACAGTCTAAGGAAGGGACTCCAAGTCGGCGTAAACATCGCGCTGGAAGGCGTACGTGGCGCCATCCTTCATGGGAATCTTCGACCTTCGCAGCCGGCTAGCTCAGGTTTCTCAACCCCCCGAAATAATTGCTTGAAGGTCATTGGACTCAGTAAGCACTCATAAGCGGGCTTTAAGCCCACTTCTACCCCCTAAACTGGAATAATGGAGATTACCCCCAATGATAAGTAAGGCTACAAGCTCAGATACACGTAATTAGTTACTAAGGAACCCCACACACAGTTCAGGGTTGAAGGCTCAGCGTTCTTGTGGGTCCTTCCTACAGAGGTGTAGGGATAAAACTGAGTATATAGATAAAACTGCGTATACATATTTGTATACATTTAAACTCATGCATGTGTGTGCTTACGGATTAGGGTACTGGGTTTTGGGCTTCTCAAAGCCTGGGTATGTCTGCCGCCCCGAAGCCAGCACGGAACCCCCCCCCCATGTACGCTTTTGAAAAGACAGGTGTCCTCATAAGACCCATCCTTTTGCTTCCGGCAGAATCATATACGGTTTAGGGCTTGGAGAATAAGCTACGCCTAGACCTCCCAAATAGCCACAAAAACTAAGGTCTAAACCCCCCACCCTAAACCCTAAACCCCAAACCCCAAGCCCTGAACCCCTAAACCCTAAACCCTTAACCCTAAACCCCAAAACCCTAAACCCTAAACTGCCCACTGCAGGATCCCGAGCCACTAAGACGCGATGTTGGGGCCGTCCTATTTTAGTGATGGTAAGGATCATATGGGAACAATGCTTGGAAACTTGTGAGAATTCTAAACTATACTCTCTAGAAACTCAGCTTCCACATTCATCTTTCATGCCTTTCTCCATCTGCTTCGTCCTCCTTTTTATCAAAGTAGAACCCCTAAAGCCCTGAACAAACAAATGTACATACATCCCTCTGTACCCCTAACCCTATAATCCTCCTTGCGTCTCTGCTTAACAGTGTTTTGGGCCCCCAGGTAAGTAAAGTTCTTCAGCTTCGCTGTCGGCAACCCTACGAAATCCTGGTGCTTACGGTTTGGGGGGGTTTAATTTGGTTTAGGGCTCATAGAAGATCCGGGACCTTAAGCCCGAAGGATCAGGATTTAGGTTCAGGGTTTAGGGACCCTAAACCCTTAGAATTCAGGGCATAGCGTCTTAGGATGACCAGGGTATTTAGGGTTCAGGGCCATGGGCTTAATCAGGATCTAGGGTGTAGGGTGGGGGATTGATGTCGAGTGCTCCTCAAAGCGTTTAGGGTTGGAGGGTTGTAGCTTGGTCGGTATCGACATCGCTGAGTCCTACAAAGAAACCAGAACCCTCAACCCTAAATCCTCAACCCTATATAACCCGCCTGTAAGGAG